CCAGGATCACCACACTACAGTTAGGCAGAAATGTACCAACCTTAATGCTGATCACTGTGTCTAATCGGTGTTAGAGGCCATTGTCGGATTATTGTCCTTTGTTTGATGGGCAGTTCGAAGGATTCCAATTACAAGTGTAGGTAGAGAATTTTAGACTGTCGAAAATTTGGTGATTTGGGAAAACTTGTCCGAACCTGGATCAGAGCAGACTTATGTATGGTATTGCTAATAAGGCTGTATGTCAAGAATCTGAACTACCAGAAAGACTGACGTGAATGCTGTTCGCATAATCCGAGTGAGTTAATTGGGTCCGAAATTTCTCTTAGATCTATGGGGAACAGACGGAACTTCAAGTGCACTGATTTGAAAGCACGTATGAGGTATTTCATGCCTCTACTGTTACGAAGAAATTCTCAAAATTCAGGTCACCGGCACCTGATTTGAAAAACAAACACTCGTTAGGATAGCAATCCAAAAAAATACCCTAACCCCCGATAGTTCCGAGGACTAGATAGGGGATAGGTCTCCTGTGCACATCTCACGGTTCCCGGAAAAGCCTGGACTAATGGTCACAATATAGATAAACTGTTTACTTCCTGTGAGCAGACAAATGAGGCTTCAAAAGTGCCACATACCAGTTGAGTTAAATACAGGCTCAGCAAAAGCATACAAGTTAGAAATATGAAACTGTGGAAAAAATTAGGATTTTTCTTTTTTAGAAAATAAGCAAACCAGTACCCGTGAATTCTGTCTTCGATTCCAGTTTGGCTAATACACCGCTCTCAGTAGGGTTGGAAAGCTGTCGGTCGTAGCACTTAGTACGGGTGTACTGCACGGATGGGGCGGGGACGGGGATTGGGTGATTCTCCCGATTGACAGAAGCTAGTTTCATTCGGTAGTTCAAGTAAAAACAACATGTTCTGAATCCGATCCCCGTACAAGGTCACTGAGAAAATAGTTTTTCTTTTGGGGTACAAAAAAACAGTTTATCTGTTTTGCCTGAATCAAGAACTGTTAAAAAGAAAGTGGAATTTTACTCTTTTTCAACTAGTTAATTGGTCAGTATCTATGCAATATTCGTGTTCCATAATTAAATCAAGGATATTTATGGTTTTATTGTGTTTCCTTGATTTCTGTGGGGTCAAAACAGGGACGTACATTTCAGTCAAAAACACTCGGTAGCACTTGAAAAAAATACCGGTAGATAACTTTTGAATGCAAAAGGAGGAGTTCTGAGTCCCTCTTTGACCGTATGATTCTGGATGATAGTTTGAGTAAGTAGACAATGCTCATCATGTTACGTTTTAGTAAATTGTTTTGCGTTAAAAGCCACTTAGCAGAGTTGTGCAGGCAACTTTCAATCTCTTTGTGTATCATCTTTTCTAGGAAAAGGGATTGATTACACTTCGTTCTCTGTCCGTCGTTAGCAAATTATACAAACTGTCCGATTGTTTTATTTCTGTCCAAATTACTACCGAATTTCTACTCAAAGTTATTGTTTTTCGCCAGGATTAATCGAAAACGCGATCGGTTAGATAAGCGAGATTGGAAATCGTGGTTGGCGTCGATGTACAACGCATTTGTGTGGTTTTCGATAGTTTTTTTAAGGTCTCACGTGTAGAATAAATTTTGGATACAATCCGGATCAATACAAACCACGACGCGGTGTTCTAAAGTGTTCTTGTTTCTTCTAATATTCAGAAAAAACCTTTAGGAGAAAAGAGTATAAGGTGACGGATAGGACGAATTCGCAAAAACTAGATATGAAACAGATAATCCAAATTGGTTACTCGTGATCAGGTTGCAAGATGTGCTGTATTATACCGTGTAGAGACCAACTATTGCAGTCCAGGTGGTTATCGAATGAACAGTATACTCGTATTCTAGGTTTAGGTTGCGTGTTCGATTCCCATTTGTGCCAATGAAGTAAATCGGAGCAAAACATTCAATTGACGATAAATCCAGTTGAACAAAACAAAATTGCGTAACCACGATTATTTTTACTGTTAAAAGGGTGTGTATAGTAAGATATTATCAGATCTTATAACGGTTGATATGCTGTGTGGTTCTAAAACAACAACAACAACAACAAAGTTTAAAAATGTTTCCAAGCATTTAATTTAACGTTTTTGTTTTGGATACACCAAAACCACACAGTTTTATTCAATATACATTTTCTATACCATATGAAAACGATTTTACAGTTTTTATAAACAAACTCGATTTGATTTGCTGTACGGAGACTTCGACAAATAACGACACGTTGCGGTGATGGTCACCGGTAAGCGTTGTATTCTATCAGTAATTTGGTGATAAGCTCAACTATTCCATCAGAAAAACAACACCAGTTGGTTAAAAAGGACACGCCAATTAATTTACTAACGAATCGGTCAGTAAAACATTGCCATCTTTGTTATGGAATCGGGTGATATGATCTAGCCTGACACATCTACAGTTAAAAAAATGTGTGTAAAGTGTTTTTTGAAAATAATCATATGAGTATGAATTGAATCTTTGCCGGTTTTTAGCTGCTTAGTTCATCTAGAAAATTTCATCGTGCATGCATCTGTACCTTATTGAACCTCAAAATAAGGTTTGAAAAAGGTTTTCTATAACACACGTTTTACAGTCCCGATTGCGTCCGAAATCAGGGCCATATATAGAGGTTACTCACTAGTTCCCAGCTCCAACTATTTTACTCATGCCCCTCCTCACGGTTCCTCCCTTGTCGTAGGATCAATGACTTACCTAAATACGTTTTCGGCACTTGATCTCCGTAACCGACCGTTGTCATGGTCACAATCGCCCACCACAAACCGACCGGGATTGAGGCAAAATCGTTTCGTGGATTGAATTGGAAGCGCTCGGCGTAGTACATTAGGGCAGCAAAAATCACGATGAAAACCATGAGAAAAAACACGAGCAAGACCAGCTCTTTCAGACTGGCCCGAAATGTGTGAATGAGAATTTTCAGTCCGGCAATATGTCGAGTGAGTTTGAACAGACGCATAATTCGAATGATGGAGAAAAATTCCAGCGCATCGNATCGTCTGATATGATGCTGGTCAGTAACAGGTCCACATAGAAAGAGATCAATGCCAACAAATCAATGATATTTACAGGCGATTTGATAAATTCCATTTTGGACGGAGTGACCAGAAAACGCACAGTGATCTCGAACGTGAACCAGGCGTTGGAAATCATCTCAAAATAGCTAAATATGCTGTGTGCTTTGATTGTCCGTTTCCGGATGGTCCAGCTCAATTCACCCGCCGAATTGGGTTGATCGGGCAAGTTGGAGGAGCGTGGTATCCGGTTTAGCAACTCGTGCTCGTATTTGGTCCCATCTAGCGGGTTATAGTCAACCTGTTCCGGTTCCAACAAAACTGTTTCGTTATACAATTGGGGTATACGAAGATTCGAAGAGGTTTTCAAACAGAAGGACAAAATAGATAGTACAATAAAGAAGACAGAAATCACAGCCAAACACTGTGAGAGATTTAGGTGTGTTAGTTGCCAGGGGATGTGCGAAGGAAGGGGTTGGGGTGGAACGGGGGTAGGAGGCGGGAGGGGGAGGAGGGTTAAAAATGACAGAAGAGTAACATTAGAAACAAGTGACATGAAGTTGTACAATCGCAATACTCCAAGACTGTAGTTATACCACGATGTGATCATGGCTAAGTGCAATCGTGGTTCAACTAAATATGACACGCGATATCACANGATATCACAGGAAATATAAGTATCCCATTCATGTGAACACCGGACCAGAGATAAATGATAATGGATCACTCGCTACAAGTGAACGTAATGTAACGTGGTAAAGGTGATCGTTATCGTGTGCAGACTGTGAACCACACCACTGATTAGATTGAGTTGGGTCTATCCAAAATGTGTTTGTATTTCACCCGTGAAGTCAGCACGCAGGCTGTCAATGGGATTCAACTCTTGGTCATACAAGTGCAGTACAATTACTCCTGATGTTTATTTCATTCAGATTACCCTTCATACAAGAGAAAATCCACCGTACAAAACGCACCATATTCCCTCCACTAGGTTCATGTAGTAAAACCCAATTTTTGCTGAAAATTCGAAGCGATACACTCCGGGCAGGAGCGTTAGAGTTGGAACTTTAGTGAAAGAATCTACCTGGTTTGTTGCCGGATTTGCATCGATTCCACCGCGCATATGTCGATCTCAGCATAGATTATTTAATAAAGCAGCAGTATGAAAAAACCAACCGATCTTTTTTGGCGCGGCGAATTCTATCTTTGCCGGTCTCCCACGTATCGGACCGCTTTGACATAGCACTGCCAGTTATAAATAAAATCGAAAAAAATATTAGCCTAACAGACTCATCAATCCGGATGAGGAGGTGAGTTCATGTTTATGGAAAGGAGTCGAGCAAATTCAGGGTGAACTGAGTACCTCGAAGGAGGTGCTCGTTTTGACCAGTACTGGTAAATTGCGTCACTGACTGGTTTACTGTACAGTGTGACTTGCGTCAGCTCTATGGATTATCAACTTTGAGGTTTCCAGATGAAAATTTGGAAATACTCCTGTAAACCTGTAATATATTTGATGGTATCGAACTTTTTCCAGAATCAGCAGGTACATAACTTAACACCTTCAGAACAGAGATTCTTTAACTGCTCCAGATCACTCCTTGAAATCAGTTCGGAACTTTTAAAAATGCCAACCCTAAAAGACACCTTAAATTCACCAGGGCACCAAGAACAAAGCCTGCATTGACCATAACACGTGTAAAACTGTATTTCCATAACTACATACCTCGATATAAAACCGTTTCAAATTGGGCCCAAAACACTAGTTGCCACTAGTTACCAGATGCAACTAATATCAACGTTGCATACGGTTGTGAAAAATGGTCATTAAGAACTGAGGACTTCAACATTCTGGAATTCTGTGATCACTGGTAACTTCGTTGCATAGCGTAAGTAAAATTGTAGGACCGCATTTCCAACGATACGCACACACACCACGCCAACCCAGAAGTTTTTGCGCGATAAACGGTCACGATCTCAGAAGGCCGTCAACTGAACTCGCGAAGCGGTGTTGCCTTCTTGTCCGAAGTGGTGGCACTTTCACTCGGACTGTCTGTAGATCGGAATTTCCGAAATTCGAGCTGACTTGATTGGAATCAACACGTGTTGGTGCCTGTGAATCCAGCTGAGCCCCCGAGAAAGAGCCCAAGAGTATCCCTAAATTAAATGCATGTAACAGAACATACATTGGGAATGTACACTTTTCGTACAACCCTAAAATACCATCTAAAGAAACCTGGCTTGGCTATGGGCTCACGGCCTAAGTAATTCCTGCAGAAATGCTATTAGTCAATGTCGAAAACGGATTCGCAGAAGGACACAAGGGATATGCACTTCACTATGGAGACAGAAAAACATAATTTTCTGGTCTTTTCACAGACTGGAATTCGTCAAACGGAGGATGAGTAGGCATTTCGGGAGTAGTAGTATAGGCCGTTCGTGTACGCAGGTAGTTCAGTACATACATCTTCTAAGTTTCACAACACGGAGAGATACAAGTAGAATATTGAAGAAATTTGTTGTTCACAAAGAAAAGGGGGAGGAAGAAAATTTGTAGTACGGAAGCTTCAGACAACGACGGTAAGATGCACACAGATAAGTGAGATCCTACGGAGAAACTGAGGTCTTAGTTCGACAACATCAAGAATCGAGCTCGAATGAGCTAAAAGCAGAAATTGTCTGGGAAGGTATTTATGACCTTTCCGTTTAGGGTTGATGGGTTATTCGAAATCTTGGATCGTTCGCTCATCAATAGCTGTCGCTAATTGTTTTCCCCTGAGCGCACTAACGAGTTTCCACGACGTCTCAGCCACTCCTTTATTCAATAGCTCAAACATTAGATGTCTCATCAACCCTAATCATTTGTTCTATATATCAATTCACGTGCACCTGCAGTGCACCTGCAGTGCTCGTCAGTGCTCTTTATTGGACACATAACGCGGCTTGTTAAAGAAAGGAGAATGCCCTAAACATTGTCCGCAGTATCTCGAAAAGGAACAGTGACAAAGCTGGAACAGCTCGATCGGGCCGGGTCTCTGTCAACCATGGGCACAGGATTGCTCCAGAAGCAAGTTTCTTCACAACACCTGAATAACACATTAAACGATGACACTACAAGATCCTAACAACTGCGGAATCCATGGCAATTAGTAATCCCAGGCCGGAGTTGTATAAGAAACGAAACCTGATTGATGGGCTGCTGTTACCATGATCAAAAGAGGTTTTTTCCCGGATATTGGTGTTACGCTCTTTCCCCGCCTCGCCCCGTCTTCAGTTGTTCACACATCTATTTTACTCACTGCTGAATGACACCGATTCCATCCTTTCAAGCTCACACACAATTTTTAACTTGCCCCTTCCCAACCGTAGATTTGTTTTTATTCATCAAATAACCCGGAACATAAACCCATGCACAGATTCATTTCACATCAGCCTGAGCCATGTAGTGATAGGTGAAAAAAATCAAACTATGTATATATATATACACATATATATGTGAAATTCTTTAAGTTGTATATCAAAAAGAAATTTCTTCATGTTTCCACTTAATAAAATTTTTTGATGACATTCACACTTAATCAGACTTCGATCATTTGCCAAGAAGTTGAGGTATTTTGTGTCAAATATTGAACAGTCACGAGCCAACTGGCTATTTTAGGAATACAATGCCAAGGCCTTTGAATTAGTCCTTGCAAAACGTTAAACAATTTCTTTCAAATAGAGCATGTCACTTCATGCAAATCTTTTCCCAGTGGTTTTCACGTTTGATCAATCAATTCAAATGTTTGATCAAACGTTACGCAAAACTCCGCATGACGCTGAAAACGTCATAATAATTATTTTTTCACGATCATTACATCCAGGGACATCCCTTGCTTCATTTCCTAATGCATCCCATCACCACCCACCGGTTCAGACATCTCGAGCGGTACGCGCTACGATCCTCAGTGTTCCCGTGTAATGGACACGCATTGATTATGCTAGTCGGCTGTCACAAATTAGTCTCACCCCGAGATAAACGAACAAACAATCCGCCGGTTAAGCCAAATCTGCTTCGGTCAATGATGCTCCCGTGTACAACGAGCATACGATCACGTGATCACCCAGAAGAAGAAGGTCGGTCAGTCATCCACGTGACTGTCTACATTTTAATACTGCGCGGACAGAGTGATTCTCCAAACTCAAGTGATATCCAAGTATTATTTTGGGCAGTCGGTCAACCAAGAAGCGACGACGATTTGATTTGAGATCTTAATCTATATATTTTGAAATAGAAAACAGTCTATTTGGGTCCGGCACGTTGAGTTGTAACGCTGAATTACCGGGCCAACGAAATGCACACGAGCACACACACACACCTGCGTCTCTATGTGATCGATAGTGAGAGAAAATATCTGGTCAATGTCTGTCTAGCCCCTTTAGAGCTCACTCGTGGGCGGATAATGCTGATCGCTCTATTCTATCAGTCTTATGGCTTCAATTAACATGTTAACAAGAGATCTCAATCCCCGGGGGTTCCTATAGACATTTAATGATTATTAATTCAATGACCTTGCCGGATATATTCGATTTCGGTGTGGCTGTCTATGTATTTATTGTATTTTACTTCCTTTTATTGAATGTACAAAGATACACAACTCAAGAAGGAGGAAGCGGCCAATCAAAGGGCTGCCATTCAACACACAATGGGTAAAGTCAGGCGGCGATGGTGGGATTTGACCACACATCGCCNCCACCGCCAGAAAGTTAAGTTCATGGACTGTTTATCCTCGTTTACAAAATAATTGTCACCAAAGCATTTATGGGATTTAAAAAGGAATAGCCGTTTCGCATCCCAGTGTTTCCCAACTGGTATATAACTTGGAATNAAAGAGCTATCAATCTGTCAATCCTCACAGTGTCCGGGCCGGGTGAGTTTTCCCGTGTTGAGTCGAATTAAGCCGCA